ATGGCCTCGTATCAGAGCACAGGAGGCAGTAATCACCCTTATTAAAATAATTCAGCTTCTCTCTGACGGGCTGATCTGTGGCTTCAGAAAGGTTTCTGCCAAACATGTCCCTTGAGCGATAGATATTTCTCGTTTTAGTCATTTGCCATTATCAGCCCGTAAACTGACCATCTTTCTGTGTTTGTGTTGACCAGACTGTTGATCAAAGTGCACATTCCTGGAAAGAAGCCTCAGGTCCGCTGTGCTGTTGGGTAATGGTTTCCAGCTTCAGTCGTTGGGACTGTGAGAGCCGCTGGATTTCATTCTACTCATATTATTGGAGTTGATTTAATTCTGCAGCATCAGATCAATGCCGTCCACAACCAGAAAGGACAAAATAAACTGTGTTTGCCAGTCTGGCACCAAGGACCAGAGATAAAATCCACAGCTGAATTGATCACAATCTGCACATGCAGGGGGGATGAAGTAACTCAAGTATAATTTTGAGGTATTCGTACTTAAGAGTGCCACAATTTTAAAGAACTTCTGCTTTTTTCTCCACTACATTTATTTGAAAGACAAGATACTTTCCTAGGGATTATTTTCATTAGGGTCAAGAACGTAGTTGAACATTCTCATCAGAATTTCTTTAAGACCAAGTTGACGTCTTTGAATTGCTCGATTTGCCTCATCAGCACTCAATAACCTAAAAATACCCAGTTTACTTTCAAATAAGACAAAGAAAAGATTTAAACTTCAATGATTCTTCTAATCAAGTTCCACCTCAACCAGATATAACTTTAAAAATGCTGCTTAATTGCTATTGAACCAGTAACAATGTTCCATTAATATCTAATAATATGACACCGACAGAGATCTTTAACAACCAAAATTAAGGGTTCCTTATCAAAAATGTTTCTAATATGTTTATGTATTTACATAAAAAACAATCAGTATCAACCAAGATATAATGGAGTATTTTTTAAATGTACTTATTTTACTTGATTGAAGGATGAAAATATTTCTACATAGAAAACTGAGAGGAGAGAGAGCCCAGTATATCAGGTATCAAGTATTGGTTTATTTCAGATTACAGGGAGGATAATAATGCATATTGCAGAAAGTAATGCCTGTTAACAGTCCTTTTCACATAGTGTGTCCAGCTGACACTATAGTTTACAAAACCCTTAAACAGACAGAGTAGCATATCACGGCTGAGCAGATGGTGTTTTATATAACTGTAAAATTATCTGCTGTCAGCATAACTTTTATTACTAAATCTGAGGGACCTTGGCTTAAATGTGTACAACTATTTTTTTTATTATGTGCATATAAAAATAATCTGTCATGGTGATGGTCTCAGATATCCTGAAGCCTCTAGATTTTAAGCCAGTGGTTTCCAAATGTCTTTCTTAAGAGATCCCTTTTCTATCATTGAGTTCAATATCTTATGGGTCTTTCATATTATATTTAATGCATAACAATAACAATAGAGAATGAGTAATAAACCGTACAATTAACCCAAATAGTAAAGCATTATGTATTTTTTTTATTTTTAACAATCATACATTATTTATTTCCTCAGCTCTTTGGTTGTTTTTAACTGTTAAATCCAAGACGAGGCTGTTTAGCAGAGAGGGAACCCTTTTTTAGATACAGCTTTTGTTCAGGTCTTTAAAGTTTGTTGGATAAATAATAATCTAAACTTGAAAATTAACAATTCTAGATCTTTCTTTTAGTTTTTTGAAAGCATAGATCACATCGTCTGCCTTAATGGATGACTTTGAACAGAGTAGGTAGACACCGGCGGTAGCTCTACCTAGATTATCAAGTCCCGACATTCCATCCCATATGTTGCGTAACGGGCCGCTGTAATGCATCTTCCACAAGATGAGTCAGTGTGATTACTCAGCAGCGCCACAATGCATACAGTGCCTGTGAATGTCAATAAGCCAGCTTCAGTTGTCGAGACCCCCATCTCCTCCATCACAAACAACTTCCTCCGTCTACAGTGCCCTGACTTTCATAATCGTCAACAAGCTGAGGTCGTGGCCTGAAAAAAGTTTTCTACTTGATTGTTTGATACAAGACTTTCTTTTGCATCTGCAGCATCAGCCACGGGTTTCACACAGAGAGCAGCCCACATTCACATTTCACATTAGTCAGCCGGTTTGGCTTGGCCATCCTGCACATAGTGTGGTGGTGTTGTGTGACTGCAGACTGTCACACAGGCAGCTCATTCTGTCATCCAAGAACCGTGAAGAGGGAGCACTGTGGCTCTGGGAAGAACTTAAAATTCACCTATTATTATTCAACCGAGTGAGTCAGCGTGCAGTCTGTGACACTGGGTCAGAAACATTTTGCAGCCATACAAACATATTTGTCTTGTGTAATAGATTGAGATGAGCTTAAATAAATTGGACCTTTCTCTCATCACTTAATGCTGCACCAGATCACATCCAGGATTATTCCCAGAGATGAATTTGGTGTGCTGGTAGTCACATAGGTTGTTGAGTTATGTAGCACTGCAGCTAACCATTGTTTTCATTATTGATCAAATAGTGTGAAATATTAAAAAGTAGTGAAAACAACTTTCCACAGCTGGAGGTGGCATCTTCAAATTGCTCCAAAACTTGATTTACTATCATATATGACAAAGAAAACACCAAATTCTCACATTTGAAAAGCTGGAACGATTAACCACTTATTGTTGTTTTAAAGTACCAGTATGTAGGATTTAGTGGCATCTGGCATGAAGTTGAAGATTGCAGCTAACTGAATACTGCCACATCTATATTTGACGACCTGGGAATGAGAACGGGCTGTGAAGTATGCAGACCACAACCAGTAGTGGTTGCGAAACTTGCAAAAAAAAATGTCAAAGTCCCTATCTAGCCAGCTAGCTATCTATCTGGGCTACTGTAAAAAAGTGTCGGTTTAACATGGCTGCAATCGTTTCAGCGTTTCAGTTATGTGTGATTGTTATGGATGTGTATCTTGTGCATGTATGTGCAGTCACAGCATGTGGGCAGGAGCATCACCATATGCATGATTCTAGCAGACCTCGCACCTTTTCTTTCCTGTGAATTACAAATGAATGGACAGAATTCAGTCAGAGCTTGCAGCACAGTTTGTCGTGTTTCGTGCACTGACGGAGCGAGGAAAGTCACAGGCTTGGCTTCTGTCATGTTGTCATTCACAGGAAGTGATGTTGCTGCTTGTCAATGTGGTGAGCAGGTGGGGGGGAACAGAAATGGTGCTCTACGTTCTAACTACCTTCTCAGTGAGCTCACAGGTTTCCTGTGGTTTTCATTATTGTGTGTGTCTCCTGCTGCAGAAAGCGTGCAGAAACACTGTGCAAGAGAGTTGCTTGACAGGCTCAGTGTGCTGCTGGAGGAATTTTGTACTTCTCCTAATGTCCACACAGCTGTGGAAACCACTTGCATGCGCTGAATAGAAATGATGCTCATGCTGCTCACGGCAACAGCTGCGGTGGGAAGATAGTGCTGTAACAGGCCAGCAAGTAGTACACCAACTCCCTCACTTACACAAGCCCTTGAATTTACATATCGTCCCACATCATCGCTTGTCAGAATGAGGTCAAAGTCAGAAGGACGTATGCTTCAAACCCTTTTAGTTCTTTGTTGTTTGTTTGCGGCGAGTGTGTTCCACCTCATCACACCCGGGGCTGGGCTTTGTGACCAGGTAGCGTGTTAGTGCACAGTCTGTGTTTATGTGTCGTGGCTCAGACTGACCCTCCCCCCCTCCCAGTGTGCGATGGGGGAGTGAGGGATTAGCGTGGATTTGATGGCCTCGCAGCGGTGAGTTCAGAGCCTGTTGGGAGGAACTGATTACACTTTGACGACATAATAGACCTTTTTGATGCTGGCCGTCTTGCTTTTTGTGAGGCGGTGGATCACTTTAGGTGTGTTTCTCTGTGTTACTTTTACTTTTGTATAACCGATGACGACCCAATAAGACACTTGTTTCAGCAATTAAAACTGCATGCAGGAGGCAGTGTGGGCTTGTCCTTTAATTTTCTCCCCATTGTCGAGAGATGACTCAAGAGATGAAAATAGCTGGATTAGAAGTTGATTGCTCTTTTGGTACATTCTCCTAAGACTGTGATATAAACACTGACCGATGGATTTTTGTGCCTATATGATGTAAAGGTATAATTGTGACCATGCCAACCCCCTCATTTAGCTTGGAAATAACCATAAAAATAAAGCTGCAAAAATAAAAACCTTTATGTCAGCTGTTGAAATGGCAGTATTGGCACTTCTGATTTTTGTCCACATGAGTACCCTTACTTCTTATTGAGCACCGCCACCTCTGGTGAGCATGGCCGTACCCACCACAGCAGTTGCAGAGGACCTCAGTTTTTACATCGGGCACCAGCTCTACCAGGTGACCTTCCAGGCTGCCTCAGACTGCTGTATTTCTAAAGCCCTACCAACAGCAATGCTGGTGACGTACTCCTAAATGC